ATGGGGAGTTACAGAATCACATAGCAGCAGTTAAGCAAGCGATATACAAAAGCAGATTTGGTTAGCAGTAAGTTTTATCTTTTAATTTACACCTTCTAAGCAATCTTTGTCCAATCTTTGTAGGTAAGCTCTTTCCACTTTCCGAGGGGAATTCTCTGAGGCAGTTACTAGACATTTGAATGGGCTAGAGCTTAGGAGAGCTAAGCCTATCATGCATACCCTGAGACAGTTTGATTATTCTAGTGTTTGGCCGTGTCATGCCTATCTGGAGCCTAGGGGAGTCATGCCTATCCTGAATGCCCTGAGAAAGCTGATAGATATTTCTATTATGTCAGGATCCTGGGGAGTCAGGTATAACAGAGGCAGCCCAAGTTCCACTGATTGCCTCACTCCATTTCTTTGACCAGTGTCCAAAAGCAGCGGCAACTCAATAATACCTCATGCATTTTTGCATAGGCGGCACTTGCTCACACCTCACTCACTGTCCACCCACACCCCTGCCTATTTTCTTACCTATGGATGGTTTTGATATCATCCATCCATCACACTTTGCTGTATCTCTCTCTCTGGGTTCTCCAAATCATAAGCATTATCATGCTAGGGGGCCTGAGAGACTATCTGGAGTTTGGGAGAAAGTTTCACTTGTTTCTAGAGAGTGACCATTTCCTTGCCCCTCTCTTATGTGGCATCTTGGTGGTAGCATGGCTGCCCAGTTGCGCATCACAGCCACGGTATCCCAGACATGCCAGCAGCATGCTGCTTTATCGTACCAAGGAGGAGCTTTGACGTGTTTTTTATATTTTTGTGATGCCAGAGGCAGACTGGTAGAATATCCCTTTACAGGGAGAAATAGAAGTATGCATCACAATTCCAGCATCATCAGGAGTAAACTACTCCTGTACAACTCCGGATGATGATGATTTGGTGGCATAAGTGCACAGTGACAAAACTAGGAATAGAATCCAAGCATCCTGAGCATCAGCTCTGCCCACTGCATCAAGTCGCCTACAAGTTGCCACTTTCTGAACCTCCAGACATGTTTATTTCATCCTGCTTTGAAGACACCCTGTCCTGTCAGTTTAAACTGGCCAGTGTTTAAATGATATTTGAGAAGTGTTCAGTGTTTTAGGACCATGTTTCTTATTCCCAGTTTAGCCAGGGGCTCAGAACTCCCCAAGAAAGAGCCACTTGTCACCCAAAATAAACTGCAGGGCTGCAGTACTTAAAACGATTCTTGGTACATGCACTGAATGAGGCAATCTATTTACTAAATAGTTGCGGTTTAAAATTATTTTGAACCAACTATGTGATTATCTCTTCAGTAGCCTCCGTCAAACTGAAGAGGACCCATAAATTTCTTCAGACACTACACCCAGAAATGATGCATAATTATAATTTTAGCCATCAGAGGAATCCATATACCTGTAAGTCTGGACTGTGAGATTTTTAATTCATGTCAAGGGAAACGGAAACAGAGTCAAGAGGCACTTGTGCTGTTCCAGGCCTGGAAAAGAAATCCTAGCATGGTTGCAGTTATGAAGTTCTGAGACTGTATGAAACTTCATGTTTCTCTGTAAACTTCTGCAACATGCGAAATTTCCAATATCTCAGTTTCTGAGTAATGAACAGGACTGATGCCACGTGCAAGATAAGCATGCATTCATATGATTTCTGCATGCAGAAAGAATGCAAGAAGGTAGTACTTTTAGTCAGAGGCATTCCTTTGCCCGCCCACCCCCTGCATTGCTTGAATAACTAATCCTCTGTTGCTGTACTGCACCAACCCTGCCTTTGTGATCCTAAATAGAATATTTTCTGCACTCTCTATCAGATAATAGAAGTTGAATATGGCTCTCTAGGCACACGAATTCTCATTCATATCAGGCCCTGCAAATCTTAAACCCCCCTAGCCATGCTCTGCTGGATTAGGTCAAAGCCCTACTTTGTTCAAGATCCTGCTTCCGCTGGTGGCCAACCCCCGTGCCCGAAAATGGCACAAGGGCAATAGCCTTCTTCCTGTTCCTTGACCCTTCATTCCTTGGCACAATCTGCCTCTTTTCCTGCCTTTGTTGAATAAACACATTCTGCAACCATTCAAACACTGAGAACAAGATTCTCAGTACGACTGCCTGGTGACAGTGACACATACGTTGGTGACTTCCCAACTTGACTTCTGCAACGCGCTCTACGTGGGGCTACCCTTGAAGACAGTCCAGATACTTCATTTGGTTCAGAATAGAGCTGCCAGGCTGTTGACGGGGACTGGACGTTATGCTCACATGACTCCAGTCCTCCGTCAGCTTCACTGGCTTCCCATTGAAGTCCAGGCCCAATTCAAGGTGTTGGTGATCACTTATAAAGCCCTAAATGGCTTGGGTCCTGGCTACCTGAAGGAGCGCTTACGTCCATATATGCCCGCCCGCCCCCTGAGATCAGCGGGAGAGGCCCTTCTCCGGGAACCTTCCGTGAAGGAAATTAGGAGGATAGGTACTCGGAGGAGGGCTTTCTCTGTGGTGGCGCCCAATCTATGGAATGTGCTCCCCAGAGAGGTCCGCCTGGCGCCGTCGTTGTTTTTCAGCACCAGGTGAAGACCTTTTTATTCAAGCATCATTTTAATTGTTAATGTTATTTTTATTTTAAAGTTTTTGGCCAGGGCGACTTATTTTGTATAGTTACGTGTATTTTATATTGTTATTTATGTATTTTAATTTATTTATTTGTAAGCCGCCCCGAGGCTTCAGCAAATGGGGCGGCCTAGAAATTTTCTAAATAAATAAATAAACTATATGAGTTTCCATAAATTATTCCTTTTCCTTGAATAATGGGGAATCTATCTGGGGCAAAATGAGACAAGCGACCCTAGACTACAAAGCAGCTTGCAGGTGCCGTGTTGTACTTCTGTCAACAGATGGGAGCTTTATCCTCACATATTGGCATTTCCTCTGCATCGGTTCCTTCTCTGTCCGAGCTCTTTGCCTTCTTTTGTGTTTTGCAGGTTGCTTATGGCACTACGGAGAACAGCCCGGTCACCTTCATGGGGTTTCCTCAAGACAACCTCGTCCAGAAAACAGAAACCGTTGGATGCATCTTCCCTCACACAGAGGTGACTGACACCCTTGCCACGTCTGCTGCCACTCCTCCACAGTCTTTGGTCACCTCCCTCCCACAACATACTTCTTTTCCAGTGGTCTCTCACATTCTCTCTGTCCCGCACACGTGCGCTGGCTCAGTCCCATACTGAAAGTGTCTCCTCCTTCTCTGTTAGGCAAAAATTGAGGATCCCAACACAGCAGAAATCCTCCCACTCAACAGCCCCGGAGAACTTCAGGTGCGAGGCTACTGTGTCATGCTGGGATACTGGGCAGATCCCAGCAAAACCAGTGAAGTGCTGGACGATGAGAAATGGTACAAGACTGGGTGAGTAGGGCCATAGGTGTAGTAGGTGCTATTGAGCGACTCAGTATCTCTTCACTCTAGCCCCTTATTTGAAGAAAAATGGGGAGCAGATGTGTATAGGAAAGAAGGCGGGTGAGTAACTTCATCAGCAGGGAAATGGCAGGCCCATGGCATGTCCACCCAAGGCTGAAATCTCACGGCAGCCTCACTCAGTGGTAAACTTGAAGCTTGTGGGTATGGGCCTCTACCACCTGATCGCCAGCCTCCTTCTTGGTCACAATCCACCGGGAAAGCCCTTATTCATATAGTTGATATATCCACTCATTGTCACTGCCAATGGCACAGGGTTCTTCCCTGGAAGACCACTATCACGAGGCTCACCACATGGAGCAGTGGTCAACCATTTCTGACAAGAGCTGCACTCCCGGTGAAGGATCAGCTTCAAAACTTGGGAATGTTCCTGGAGCCTCCACTGTGTGTGCACCTTCAGATGGCTGCTTTGGCCAGTAGCTGGCATGCTCGCTGTGCCCCCGCTTGAAAAAAGTGAGATCTGGCCACAGGGACACGTATCTTGGCCACCTCCTGGTTATACGTGTATTACATACTTTTTACATTAGGGCTGCTCCGGAAAAGTATTCAAAAATTCAAGGGGGACAGAGTGCAACAGCCAGATTCCTCCAGTATATGCATTTGTTTGGCTTCTGATAAATTTCTACACCCAATTCAAGGAGCTGATGCTTACCTATAAAGTCTTAGATGGCTTAGAGCAGGGGTCTCAAACCCAGCTTCCCTGGGGGCCGCTGGAAGTAGAGTCTGGGTGAGGCTGGGCCGCATCGAGTATTCCACCCCCGCGGTGGGGGTGGGCCGCTCATCCGGAGGCCGGCCTGGGCGCCGCCGGCGCTTTGAAGGCCGCAGGGCCCCTCCCCCATGCCCTGCCCGGCCCGGCAAGTGGCCCGCGGGCCGCGAGTTGGAGACCCCTGGCTTAGAGGCTGGGTATCTGAAATACCACTTCCTCCCCTATGAACGTGCCAGAGGTTCAGATCACCCTTACAGGCCCAGTCTCGCCACAGAAGGCGTTTAGTGGGTGGGAATGTGAGCCAAAGCCTGTTTTTCAAATTCCTCATCCCTAATGGCATTCTTCAGTTGGCTTTTCATCATTTTAAATATATGACTGCAGATTTGAACTCTGCTCCCTTTGATGGAAAAGTCTTAGATTTAATTCTTTTCTTTCACGTGAATTCCCTGGGGGCTACTTGTTAGTGTTGAAAATTGATACAAATGCATTTTGTAAATAATATGGATAGCCTATACTTCCAAGTGTGTGTGAAGGGGGCCTCTGTCTCCTAGTATATGTCCCTTGTGATGCCACACCACGTCACGTCTCGCTGCATTGCAACAGGAGTGTTTTGTGATACAGAGTTCAGAGGTCCGCTCACAACCTTCCATTTATAGGCAACTTTGCAATATGGCAAATTGAAAACGCCAAGCACCCAAGCAAACTGCCCGATGAGGCTTATATAACACTAATTATCTGCTTCATTCACAGAATGTTATGGGAGTCCAGATTATGTCTTGTTTGAGTTGCAGCCCTCCCATGTCTTCCCACCATTTCTTCCAACTTTGGTCCTTACACAAAAGGAGGCAAACAGGGAATCGCTGCGCTAAGCCTGTTGAATGTTAGGGTGGGGGTCCCCGATGTACAGTAGGAGCAGGGTGGGCTGACTGTGCTGTCTTTGCAGGGACATTGCTGTCCTTGATGAGTACGGCTACTGCAAGATTGTTGGTCGCTGCAAGGATATGATTATCCGAGGAGGGGAGAACATATACCCATCAGAGCTTGAACAATTTCTGCACACCCATCCTAAGATTCAAGAGGTGCAGGTAAGAAAATCAGCAGGTGCGATTTGGGGAGCCATCGCAGTACGACTGCTTGCAATTTTTACCTCACTGTGGTTTAAGACCTCCCAGCCTGTGATGGGCACCGTGTGGCTCCAGCGCCCATCAGGAGACTAGAGCGCCTGAGGAGTGCCGAGGAAATAAGCCCTTTGTGTCTTCTCTCCCTCTTAGGTAGTTGGTGTGAAAGACGAGCGAATGGGTGAGGAAATCTGTGCCTCCGTTAGATTGAAAGCTGGAGAGGAGTGCACAGCAGAGGAGCTCAAGGCGTTCTGCAAAGGGAAGGTGAGTGGCTCCAGCAGGGCAGCGTGTCCCACCTTTTGCAAACCGCATCTGTGGCTGCGGTTCCGCAGACTGCAGAGCAGAGCTCCCTCTGCGCTCTGGATGTGAGGAGCGCTGGGTTCGCATCCTGCTTTTGGCAGCACTGCAGCTGCAAGCAAGCCACAGTTGGAGCTTTTGCCAGCCCTGGCAGCTGACCTGGAGGCACCTGGACACTGATGTCACAATTGTCCTGCTGGCCTACTCTTGTTTGGGTTTTTGGTTTTCTTAGAGGGGAACTGAAATGCTGTGGACAAAATGTATCTTGACAAAGTGCCTAATGAGAGCTCCAATTATCGAGCTGATTAAGCATGGGCTGAAGAGCACCAATCGTGTGTGTTTCCACCTCTGGCCGGGGATCTGCGCTTAAGAGTGCTTCTGAGAGGTTGCTCATCACTGTGCCTTGGCAACTTTTCTTTTGCAGATCGCTCACTTCAAGATCCCGCGATACATAGTCTTTGTGAAGCACTATCCGCTCACTGTCTCTGGCAAGGTATGTGCCAGTCCGGTTGTTGCTTGGCAGGCTGCGAGTAGCCCGATCCTGCCAGGAGGGAAAGCCTGTGCTCTCCCCGGATCTCATTTCCCACCAAAATTGCCAGGCTTGGTGGGACTGCTCACAGTGGGGACAGCAAAGGTTGTGGCCCCTTGCAGCAAAGGTGCAGTGGCCAGTGCATCCCCTCACCTCTCCAACGTTGGCCAGCCCTGCTTTGGAGCGTACAAGGGGACAGCAGCTGCGCAAGGCAGGTTCTGGGGCACCAAACACAGCAGCAGGGGGCCGCCACGTGAAATCTACCCACCCTCCCACAATCGGGCATTCAGCATAATGCCAAACACTGCACTGGGGGCCAAGTGCAGGGAAGCTGTATGGGGTGGTGGGAGGGAGTGTCATGGCAATGGCTGCATCAAGTGGGGGGGGTGATTTTCACTCACCTGCCTTGGGTGGGGGGAGGGTCTTCACCTTGGGCTGAATATTATCCATTGATAAGGAGAGTATATGAGGAGAGAGAGGCTTGGAAGGAAGGAGGGAGGGAGGGAAGGCTAAGTTTGGTCTTGTAAGCTCAACTTTGTGCTTGTATATTCACACAAAGTGAATCTCTTTCTTCTTCTCTCTTTCTTTCTTTTTCAATCTTAGATTCAAAAATACAAACTGAAGCAGCAGATGGAGATGCATCTTCAGCTTTAAACAGACAGGCAGCCCAAGAGAACCTGAAGTGAATGTGCCTTCTGACTTACTTTTATACTGGAGCTCTAAGCAGTTAGGGAGCTGCCACCACCTACCTGCCTCAACATACCTTGGGGCTACCTGTAACCCAGTCAGCTCTGCTAAAAGTAATGCTCCTGCTTGGGGAAAAAAAATGTGTTTCTTTAGTAGAATTATTTCTTTGAGTAAAGAAATCCATGGCAAACTTGCTTACATGCACACAGATTGTTTTTAAACCAAGTGAGATATCTTTGAGAATGGTTTACTGAAATGAGGTCTCCTGCTCCCAGTAAGGGTGACCAGAACTGGGTCATTGTGCCTAATGAAATCTCAGTAAATCAGGGAGGGAGTAGATCTCGCCCTATCCCCTGGCCTTCTGGAAAGTTATATGATTAAATAAGTCGGGACCATCATTAGTACAAAAAGAGGGACAGGTCCCCGTAAAAGGATAATGCAAGAGTGCCAGAAATTAACAAGTGCTTTCCTAAAACCCAGTGAGTAGGCATTTTGTGCTACTGAGCACGTTTGCATGTCAGGCTAACCCAGCCTAGTAATAAGCCACAGTGGCTTGGTTGTTGTGCAAAGAACCCACATTGATCCTGACAGATAGTCAAGCTATGGGTTGTTGCTCCCCCCATCCTCCCCCTTCAGTCCTCCTTGGATGCCATGGGATGCCCCAGTTGTTTGTCAACTTCCTGCCACAACTGTGAGCTGTTTTTGACTTGCCGTGTTTTTCCCCCTTCCCCTTTTTGCACAGTTGCGTAAGTGTGGGGACCTGAAGTCACAACTGGCGCTGTGCACAGCAGATGCCTGCGGCCAAGGTGGTTTCTCCTTTGGTTTCTCTTGAGAGTTGTCAGAAGAGAAGCAAAGAAACAAAAAGCACAAGTGACCTTTGCTTGTGGAAATGGAATGGTATGATTTGCAGCCCTTTCACAGCAAGAGCCTCATTTTTATCCCAAAGTCACATGCTAGTGCACGTTTTGTACCCCTTTTTCCAAGTCTCCAGGAAAATACAAAATGGTACCCACTCCTTTTTACTGGAAAAGGAGTTTTGACAACCAGCTGTTAAAACTCTGGGTCCCTTTAAAAGGGGGGGGGGCTTTGGAGGGCAGTAGGTATTCTTTGTCAGGGAAATGGGGCTGTACTTTGTTAAGTGCAAATAGAAAGAAAAAAATAGGAATAAATGCATTAATTTTAGCACTCTTGCATTATCTTTGTGGCACAGTCTTGCTAAGTATTACCTTTGCTATTTTTCCTGTTTTTTGTGTGGTATGAATTGGCTGCAGTTGAAGCATCTTTAACCTTTTATTAGTCAGCAGGATTATGCACATGCTGAAAACATTTTGAGCATCTTTCAGAAGTGTGTAGAAGTCAGTGTGGTGATGGGTGCGGTCTTACTTTGCCTAAGCATTTGCTTTCTTCTTAGTAGCTCAAAGAGAACACCTGATCCATAGAATCTTACCCTCTGGTTGCTTCAGGGGCAATTCAGAGGGAAAACTAAAAATGACACTTGAGAATCCATGATCAGCCTCTTCCGCATTTGTTTTTCATTTAGGAGTGGCCAACAAAGGGTGGGGTTCGTATGACTCAGATTAGGACCATGATGCTGCCGTGAAGAAGGGCTGTCTCTGTCACCTCTCTCTTTTCCTGATTTAAATTGCCACCCCTGCAGTATGTCATCATCATGTAGGAGATCCAACATCCGTAGATCTATTGAAATGGACAAGCCTTTTAGTTGTGACTAAATCCATTTCCATGAGTTGATTCTAGGTAGGACTAATACTGGATACTATCTTCAGACAGGACTTGGGAAAATGAGGCGGGGGAACAGCTTAACTCTTCCTTCTTCCAGCACTGTGTACACCACTACAGTTGCACCTTTTTTTAAAGCATGGGAAATCCTAATCCTGGATCTTCCATGGTACATCTAAGGTGGCCCACTGATTTTTCACATAAAACATTATGGGATGGTATGGGGAAAACCAAGTTCTGTAGCTTCAGAGGCATGACTGCATCCGTGGTCTCTGCCCAGGGAAGAACTATCTGGACCAGGAGGAGGGAGGACATTAGAAAAAGACCCCAGAGCTGAGCTCTTTTTTAACTTGGACAGAAAGTCGGATATGGGAAGCGACTCCCTGCCACTGAGTGGAGGAGGCAGTTACTGCTCCCAGTACACACTGGTGCATTAGAACCATGAGACAAACTTTCCCACCCACTAGATTTCTCCAATGTTTATTTCTGAATTGAAATAGTTACAAACACCACAGAAATGCCAAAGTTCCAATCCTAGCAGTACTACAAGGAATGGTTTTTTTTAACAGGAGTATTTGGCAACTCCCAACCATGCCACACTGAATCACAGAGTTTGCCAGGCAAAATGTCTCTTTTCTGATTGCAGTATTCCACACCAGCTGAATGGTTTTTAGACTGTTGCTGCTCCTCTACCTTCTGTCACCTGTCCTGGAATTTTATTTCTGTTACTGTTTGGCTTATTTTTGTCCAAGGAAATGCACAGATCTCTGTACTTTGTTAATGCTTTCTAAAAAAAAATCTTGCATGCTGTATTACAGTATGAGTTACTGCGATACAGAACTGGATACCAAGCAAATGAATATTCATTAGCTGAAGTGCTATTTTTGTGTTATGATTGTCTTTCTTGATTTGATGCTAAATCTACAGAATAGAACCGTAGTCCCCACTCAAGCCTTAGCAGCTTTGGAGGGGATTCATAATGTGACTTCTGGAAACAAAGCAACTATGGCAGCACATTCTTTTTCACTGGATTGGTCTTGCAAGGAGGTGAGAAGAACGTGTTCTTCATGGCTCTAAGAAATAACCAGGAAGGATCCACAAAATAAAGGGAGCCAGGACATGTATCTTCTCCTACTTTCGTGTCCTTAGTCTTGAACCTAACAGCCGGACAGTGGTCTCTACCCATGGAAGCAGAAATCCTGGCAAAAGGCCCTGGTTTTCTGCTTTGTATCTGAAAGAAAACAAATCACATGTTAGGCCAAGAAAGGGTTTCATTGATGGGCCTTCAGCCCAGGAACTGCTCAATCACTAGACCTCAAGAGAATGCTGCTCCCAGCTTCTCCACCATGAATAAAAGCAGGAATGGGAGAAGCAATGATTTCATGATGGCTGAAAGTCTCACAATAGGTAGGTATTGATGTTACGGTCTACCCCTTAGGCACACTTTGTTTGCAAGAGACCTCCCGTTCCCCTCCTCAGTTTAGCCTTTCTGATAGTAAAACAAGCGTGGACTTAATTAAGCTGCCTCTATTCAGTGTTCAAGAAAGCATGCTCTGGCAACTGTGCCCCCCTCCATACAGCAGACTGAATGGCCCCACACTGGCTAACAGAATATCAGCTATGCAGAAGAGGGGATTCCTTTTGTTTCATCCTTATCATAATCTCTTAAAAGAGGCTTACAAGCGGATTGGATTTGCGCAAGGAGACAGCAAGTAGCCTCATCTCCTTGTATGAGTGATGACAACCACATTGTACCATTGCAAGGGATATATATCCATCATTAGAGGAGTCTCTCATGCAGTGGCCAGCAGGATACTCTGATGCTCGTGCAAAACACGGCTAGTCTGCATCCTTGTGTGAAGCATGGCCAGGGGGCTCCGCAAGCAATTAGAAGGAAGAGGGCCATCATTCTGCCACCTGCATAATACTGCAGGAGGAAGATGTAGCAGCAGATCGATCTTCCTTTGCACACTTTGGTGCCTGCGTGAGTCAGAGCAGTGACAGTCTCTCCTGCCCAAGTGACTCTGTAACAGGCTGGGCTGTGGAAGGGGGAGATCCTGATGATACCACAGCGCCTGGGGCGATCGAGAGCCTGCCACTCCAAGCCGTGCAAGGAGCAGTTGGTTAGGGTTATTTAAACCACCTGATAGATTTTCAGCCACAGTGTGAAACCAGGTACACATGCTTTTCATGGCACTGGATATCAATCTGCGTGCAAACTATTGCAAACCGAAGAGGAAGCTCTGGATCCATTGAGTCATAAGTTAAAATACAAAAGAAAGACTGCAAGGGAGCACAGAGCTAAACATTTTGGCTTCCACCCTCATTGGTGTTAAATGGCTATCAGTGTGGAATGCTGGGAAAGGAACATTCATAAGGAGAAAAAAGAAGAGGTATGAGCTTTGGGATTCCCATCTCAAAGAAGGGCAATGCCAAAGAATGTTCAAACTACTGCACCATTGCACTCATTTCACATGCTAGCAAAGTTATGCTCAAAATCCTACAAGCTAGGCTCCAGCAGTATGTGGACCGAGAACTACCAGAAGTACAGGCAGGATTTCGAAGAGGCAGAGGCACTAGAGATCAAATTGCC